AATCAGTTCGTTTAATTGCTTCTAACCAAATTTTTGATTTTTGTGAATTTTTGGGAAATCTATGCGACGGAATAGATTTTATATGAGATTCACACTGGGGCACACAGCATATCCGTACCATCTTGACCTGTTTACTTAATAAAAATTGTAACAACTAATTTCATATTTAAGATTTTATAAACTATTAAATTTATAATAAGAGAGAGAGAGAGAGAGAGAGAGAGAGAGAGAGAGAGAGAGAGAGAGAGAGAAAAAGAGAGAGAGAGAGAGAGAGAGAGAGAGAATAAAATACAAAGAATATATAAAAATAACATTCTTTCGTTTCATGCAGAAACGTGTCAAATAAGCCTAATTTCATCGATTTTTGAACCGCGAGGCAGCTATTCTGTATAATTACCATAATATATACAGAAAAAGATAAAATAAATTGTAAGTAAATATAAGAAAAACTTACCGCTATATATATCTCTAAGTGCTTCACAAACCTTATACCCACAACGATTCACAACGATTCACAACAATTCACAACAATTCACAACGGTTACGTGAGAAATTCTAGATGATTCTAGATGATCGAGAAGCAAATTACACTTTGTAAGCATTCGTTGATGTTCGTAAACATTCGTCGACAACGGCCGATAACAACCCATAGTGGGGAGAACACGGTGCTGCCTGGCTCTGTGGCACCAAAATTGGAACTATACCAACTTCTGTCGCCCCCAAAATATACGGAGTTCGTCCCCCCTGGGGGTTACACCCTCTGCACTGGCTGTTAGGGCGCGTACAAGGCGTCTATCCAGGCACAGACGGCGTTGTAAGAACCGCTGAGATAAAAACAGCAAAGGGCATTCTTACAAGACCGTTAACTAGAATAGCGATATTACCTATAGATGACTCCAGTGATAAACGCTAGACATCAAATATGTTCTGTTTTCGCGCACAACTTTATCATGTTATTATACTCAACTTAGGTTAAGCACATCAAAATTGTTTGCGTTTGCACATATCAAGCATGCAGCGTCGCACATTTTGTCAACTCTCAACGTTAATTTGTTTCTAACTTCATAAGGCTCTGAGAGCTTGCGTTGCGGTGACGATCCAGTTGCCGTTTCCTATTTCTTGTTTCATCTTTCGTTTACATTTTGAAAGCGGAGCCTTTCAAGGGCGGCGGCGTTGTATAATAATTAGTCAAACTTTCATTATTTACTTCACGTTCTCATAGTTTAAGGCATAAGTTATGTATTATTCACCGTCCGCGAGGATTGTATTCGCGGCATGCACGGTCTCGCGTCATGATCGCATGTCTAGTTGCTTTCGGCGCGACCATAGAGATAGTAGTACTAGAGTACGCATTGTCGGAAATTTGAGGAGTGGGGGTAATTCTATCTAGAAAAGGATGCACTCATTTGGAACCGTTTCGTTCTCTCTCGTTTCGCGCATGCATATAGCCGTATACTCTGAGAGAGGGGATTGAAAGAAAGAATAAGGAATTGAAAGAGCAACCCTTGGCCCTTAACCTTATCAAACTCGATTCTTTGTTTGATTCCAAAGTGATCAGGCTCAATCAGGCTTGTCCGGTCATGTAACGATGAAAACGATCATGTAATGATGAAACTTTTCTCGTTCGACTCGTTCTTTTTTTCGATCCCCTCTCTCAGAGTATATGGCTATACGTATGCGCGAAACGAGAGAGAACGAAAAGCCCCAAATGAGTGCGTCCTTTTCTAGATAGGATTACCCCCACTCCTACAATGCGTACTCTAGTACTACTATCTCTATGGGCGCGACACGTATTACTAGAGAGGGCGTAGAGAGCTCTCGTATACAGAGGGAGTACAAGTCCGTTTTCCGTTACGACACAACGAAATCTTTCGAGAGCATTCGACGTGTGATTTCCCTCGCTCCAACACAATTTTGTATCCCAGTGAACGGCAATAAATTTAATGTGAAATAAGAGGAAGTCAATTACTTTCTTCGACCACATCGCTACTGACGGATTACCCGGTGGCACGTGTGACGGGCACAAGCTCGTGGCGTCTCATTCGCCGTTTACTCAACACCATTCATTCGGTAACAATGTTTGTAAACTCAGCGTGTTTACATTAATTCCATAAATGCAATTTTGAAAATTGTGAGGAAAATTAAGATATTGGTCGTATCGATTTTCAAATATGTTGCTCATATTTTGCAACAAATCCAATATTTTTTGCTCATTTTATCATCTATGGAATTTTCTGCGACATAAGTTGGCGTGTCCACAATACTTTTTTATGTTACAGTTTTATATTCATCAATTTTATCATGTATCTGATTTGTATTTGTGTCTATTTTTTCATCAGATCCAGTTCTTGACTCTGCTACATCTCCTATCTTCTGTGTGATGGTAATGTACTTAATTTGAGTAAAATACATATTATGCTTTTTTCGTGGTTGCCTTTGCCACATCTCTTGGAGAAAGGATTCAAGATTTTTCAAGATAGATTTCTTCATTATACTCAATATCGGCTTCCTTTTTTATGACTCGAGTCGTTTTCAGTTTGATCGACCTTTCTCGCAGACGCTGCAGTGTTATATCCTCCTTCATTCGAATGTATTTAATTAATTGAATTTGTTTCCTATGATTGAGAAGATATTCTTCTTCAATCTTCCAGAAATTTTCGACTGTAGCGTTGCATGTCTCTTAAAATGTTGAATTTCTTGATCATTCCTGCCGGCCATAATAAAAAATAAGACAATATAAATTCAAATAAATAATTAGTTAATTTCGGTTCGTAGAATACATTTTCATTTTCTGAAAATTCACCTGTTTGTACACAAGAGGCTTTCATTGCTTGGAAGTACGCATAGAATGGTGAATCTTTTTTTGTGTCTTTGTGAAGGCGGTTTTCGACATCATCGCACATATGAACCATATTATCTACATTTTTTCCGGTATATCTTCGTGCTTCGCTTTCAATTGCTCGCAGAGAAATTGAGATGGCGATATTTCGCTCCGAATAGCACGTACAATTTTTCTACAATACATGCGGCTTCTTCGAAATTAGTACAATATATTAATAAAGATATTAATGCAAGTCTTTCGCCTCTTTATCGAGTATGATCAATAATTTTTTTTACTGTTTTGATGAAATGCGTCGAGCAAATGTGCAATGTTGTCAGAGTTGAATCTGAATTCGTGCCTTTCTTCATCTTGTCGAATGTTTCAGTAAGGTAAATCGACAGTTTGTAGCTATTAAAAGATCTGCAGAATGATTGTAGTAATGCCAAACTGAAATCGGATTCTATTTTATCCACAACTATCTTCCTCGAAGAGAGTCGACGCATTCTGTCCACCAAGTTATCGGAAAAAATAGTGACGTCTTTAACGCCGTGTTTGGATAATATGACGTACGTTGCTACGTCTAGAGGACTGTATTTAGACGATCCCACAATAACTGCGGAATATACATAAATTTGAGTGTTAATGACATCCAACGAATTTTGGATGATTGATCCCGTAGCATCGACATACAAATAATAAGGGACGTGGTTGTTTTACGACGTACTCGACGACTCGTTCGGCCATTAAAATTATGTGCAATGGATACGAACAAGCCAATTGAATATACCCTCCGAAAACTTTACCGTATCATTTGTTTTGGAATTAGGTTTGACAAGAAAGACTTTGGATCACGGTCCGGTTAGTTGCAATTATTACCACTACAAATTTTTTGCAAGATTACATTATCTGGCGTATCATTTAAATTTCCTGCTAACAATACATCATCCGAAACTTTTGCCATCATGTAATATTTTTTTTACGGAAGGATATACGTTTGCAAGTTCTTTAGCTATACGCTTTCTCTTCTCACCTTTTATAAATCGTCGATATGTCTCATTTTTCTTGTGTTTTGGTTTTGAAGTCATATATACTTCCACATTTTTATCCGAAAATGGAGTAAGTAAAGTGCCTCGAACAACGAAGAGAAAATCTATGCAAATTGAATGTTCGCTCGTGTGACGAGTTCCCGCGGTAAGATTGCGTTGCGGGGACGTGGTCGAGAAAATATGTAAGACTCTCTCTTATTTACACCTTTTATTGTTTCTCTTCGTGAGCCGTGGTGTTTTCATTCGCGATACACAAAACTTGTACCGATTATAATTATTCAATGTTTTAATGCACGGATAATCACACGTGCGCTCGTGTAAATGCTTGGGCCGCCATAATGATAACGGAAGAAGAAGGATCGAGAGAACGTATCAATCGCGCATCATGCGCAATCGCAGCATACGGATTTTCGCATGCAGCGGTAGTAAATCAGTGAATCAATGAACCCAATCGATAACAACGACATGATTGCACCGAACACGCCGGCCGCCTTGAAAGGATTATTTTTCAATAAAATTGCAGGTGTAATCACCTGAAAGAAAAAGAAATAAGAAAGAAAAAATCCGACATATATATTTGATATTGAGATATAATTTTGCGCAGTGACAGTTTTGCATCATAATGGAAATTATAGAATCCATCAAATACAAACGAAAATTAGACAGATAACTTAAATCTAGTATTAATTGAATAGGCTTACATTAATTTAACATTTAGTATATCATTGGCCATACTTCAATAGGCAGTATTGCCAATTTGCTAAGTGGCCGAGGCCATCCTCGTATAGGAACCCTTAGCAGTCTTGATGATGGCAGTACGTGGGATACCATCAGACCCGATATAAACAGATTAAACTCGTCCTAGAGTCCACTGAAGGGGAGCTAAATTTTGCTGCTTGACAAGAACGAGTTGATCAGGTGACAATTGAGCACCCTTATTAAGTTTCCACTTAGTACGATGCTGTAAATAATGGAGATATTCGTCTCTCCATCTCAACCAAAAGTGCTGACGAATCTGCTCCACGCGCTGCCATCGCAATAATCGGTTTTCGTTAACATCGCTTAAGTTAGTGTAAGGAAAGCTATTTAATGCCGTACCAACCAGAAAGTGACCGGAGGTGAGACACGCTAAATCATTGGGATCGTTGCTCAAAGGCGTGAGGGGTCGCGAATTGAGGATCGTCTCGATCGCAAAGGACGGTTTGCATTTCCTCGTAAGTCAAATGCGCCTCCCCCACAACGCGCGTCAGATGGTGCTTAACTGACTTCACGCCAGCTTCCCATAACCCACCAAAATGAGGAGCATTGAGGGGTATGAAACTCCAATGGATTTTCTGTTCGCCAAGGAAACGCTTGATCCCGTCCTGCTTTTCTTGCTTATTGAAGACGTCGTACAGTTCCTTAATAATCTTTTGAGCGCCTATAAACGTGGTTCCATTATCGGAATACATATGTACGGGTTTACCCATGCGAGATATAAAACGCTTAAAGGCGGCAATAAACGCCTCTGAAGTAAGGCTAGTTACTAACTCTGTTGTGAATCGCCTTTGTTGCAAAGCATATAAAAAGTGAGATATAAGCCTTGCTATTTCGTGCATTACGACGCTTGCCTTCGCGTAACAATACTGGACCGGCGTAGTCCACGCCGCAATGCGAAAATAGTTTAGATACCCGCACGCGGGCAGGCGGTAGAGAACCCATCATGGCCTTTGAAGACACTGGTTTGGCTCGAAAACACGTTATACATCCTTGTATAATCTTACGCACTGTGGATCTTAAAGAGATCGGCCAGAACCTTTGCCGGACAAAGGCCATGGTGGCTTGTACTCCAGCGTGCATGTTTCGCATATGTTCCTGTTCCACAATGCGTTGAGTTAATGCATACTTGCAAGGTAGTAATATCGGATGACACGCGTCAAAGCTTAAACTAGAGTTTTTTAATCTACCGCCGACTCGTATTACTTCGTGCTCGTCGAGAAAAGGGGATGGAGATAAAATTGTGCTGGAAGAGCCGACAACGTCGCCTTTGGACAGAGCTCGAAATTCATTCGGAAAGACGTGTCCTTGTATTGTTCTTCAAATATGGATTAACGCGATAGAAGTCTCAGAAGAAGATACAAATTCGGAAGTCGCGTATGAACGGTGTGCTCTGGGGAACCTTAAACAATATGATATAATACGACAAATTTTAGATAAACTAGAATATTTATTTAATAGTGTGCTGACGACACAAGGGTGGATGGATGAAGTGGTTGCGAGGACTCTTTTCTGTTCGGGAAGGTTGTCATGGAGTTGAGTAAACTCACCGGACGGCCATTGACTGTCATTTCTCGTAACAAAAATAGGTCCGTTCCACCATTTCGAATCATTGATTAAGTCATGGGGACTCATTCCTCGCGATAAAATGTTGGCCGGGTTGTCTGCGGAGCAAACGTGACGCCAACATTCAATTTGGGTTAAACGCTGGATTTCGCCTACCCTGTTGGCCACGAAAACCGACCATCGTCGTGATGCGGAGGCTATCCAATTTAAAGTGATGGTTGAGTCCGACCATAAATATATTTGTAATCGTGACGAATTCAAAGACTCCTTGACCTTGTCCATTAGACGCGCTAACAGCAAAGCAGCTGATTATTCAAGTCTAGGCAAAGACACGGCTTTAAGAGGGGCGACGCGCGACTTTGAGCATAATAGCGAGGAACGGTATTCATCAGGACCGAGCTCGATACGTAGACGCAAGCCCCATAAGCTGCCTGACTAGAGTCGCAAAATTCGTGTAACTGAATAATTTGTGAATGAGAAAACGGCTTGACACATCGCGGAATTCGCAACTGATTTAGAATATCCAGCTGTGCCTTGAACTGAAGCCAGCGTGTATGAATACCTTGGGGTACTGACTCATCCCATTAAACTTCTAATTGCCATAACTCTTGAAGGATGAGCTTTGCTATGATAGGAACCGAACCCAAAAGGCCTAAGGGATCGAACAATTTGGCGACGTCCAACAATATGATTCGTTTAGAGACGAGATCGCTAACTTCGGGGTTATAGGAAAATTGAAACGTATCGCGGCACTAGTTCCAGTGCATACCTAGAATGCATGAATCGATAGCATCATCTCTGATGTCGAACAGATTGGAATCGCGATCGCTAACTTCTAATAACGCAGGACAATTTGTAGCCCATTTGCTCAGCTCGAAAGCCCCCAATTTCAGCAATTGAACAGTTTTCTCTTTGATTAGCCTTAATTCCTCAATTGTGTCCGCCCCGGTCATCCACATAGAAATCCCGTTTGACGCACATGGAGCCGCGGGGAAATTGAGCGTGCTGCTCGGCCAGGTGCTTGAGACACCTCGTAGACAAGTATGATACTGAAGCGGTGCCATAGATAACCGTAGTCAGTTCATAAGTCTGAAACTTCGGACGTTGAATCCGAGCGCTATAAAATCCTTTGCAAGGAAGTTTGGGAAGGATGTATCAAAATTTGACGATACATCTTGATGATGTCGGCGGTAATCGAATAAACGAAGAAGCGGAAACGTATTAATATTGATATTAAATCTTGTTGAACAACCGGTCCCACCAATAGAGCTTCATTCAACGAAACGCCAGAGACATGATGAGTCGAAAACAACTCTAATTTTAGATGCCTCTTTGACTGTTTTAAAAACACATTAGTGAGGAAGATAGAATGACACTGATTCATGATTCGGAGCATGATCTATTCGTCGCATGTGTCCTAGCGAAAAATACTCGTCAAGAAACCTTGCGTATTGAACCTTAAGCTCGGGATTATGCTTGAAATGCCGCTCAAGATTCCTTAGCCGCTTCAAAGCGATGTCTCGCGAATCCCCCAATCTTTCGAGAACCTCCTCTCTAACCGCGGGGGCCTGACGACGTATCTGCCGTCAGGATTCTGAAATACATTGTCTAAAAAATGCCGTTTGCAAATGTTCTCTTCAGTAGTATAGCTATTAGTTCCCGAAGATACATTGTCGATTTGCCAAAATCGGTTGACTTGATCATGAAGCTGAACGTTCGTGACAGACGCATGTAACGAATGTAGGGGAGCGAGGGGCTAGTTGTAACAGGGGTAAGTAGTAACACGCAATTTTTACCGGGATTTTGAACTTTTCGATGTCGAATATTTAACACGATCTTAGCCTTATAACTGCTCGCATTACGTAAGCACAACGAATGTTCCGTCAGGTAGCGTAGCGAGTAGTTACGTGCACGTGCTGTAATTAAGCCAGGTAATGAAAAAAAAAATTTATTTAAACTTTCATTTTTGATACCTGTTGTTATCAATTGTTATGACTATTTTGGGCATTACGTTCCTAAATATATCTACCTTTATTATGCTATATTGGTTTTTACTGCTAATGACATAAATTAATATTAACCTCAATTAACCTAGAAATTCATGCTAAGGGGCAAGTTGAAACAATTTCTTGGGGTTAGTTGTAACATGTACAACATGCCTCTGATGTTTATATTTGCATGGGTGGTTTTGTGAGTTTTAATGTATTTCATTATTGTATGTCTTTTTTAGTATGAGAAATTACAAAAAGAAAACAGTGAGGGCTTTGAAAAGCCAAGATGTCTATGAGTTGGCTGCAGTTGAATAAATAATATGAAATATATGAAATATATATGAAATATATAAATATATGAAAATAATAATTATTTTTGCACTTATCTTTAAAAATAAAAACTCAAACCTGTTAAAACTTCACAAATTTATTATTATTACTACATGTCTCATTGCTGTTACAATTAGCCCCAAACACAGGGCAAATTGTAACAACCGTTTTTTTTTTTAAAACGCATGTTGTGGGGAAAATGTGTAGATATTCTTTAATATTTTCTGTTCTGATTTATTGTATAATGATTGATTTCTCGATAAAAGTAATTATAGTTTGTGACCGTACTTGTGAGAAAGGGCACAACTTCGTCACTTCATCCGTTGCTCAAAAGGATGGACAAGATAATATAAATAGCAAGAGTGCGGTTCTTCCTTCAAATTTTAAGTGCTGCGATATTCCAGCCGTACTAATTTCGTTGGGCGCCAGGCACGAGAGAGCGTGCCACTCTTCGCACTAAATTTTAAAATGTTACGCTCGGACAAAGAAATTACAGAACAACGGAATTCGCGACGGACGGGCTCAACTAGCTCAGCTAATGAAATCGGCAGAGGGGGTGGTTTGTGGTAAGCGGGGAACAATGTCGGAGGGCGAGGTAGAGGCTGACAGAAATAATCAGACAGAAATTAATATTAACAATAACAAAGAGTTTCCAATTTATTCTATTCGCGTCGATACATGAGTTGAAGTAATTTTCATAACCGCGCGGTCGCGCGTCGACGACAAGTTTCCTTTATTACAGAGAGAACGATGGCAAGGTCGTCGACGGCGGTACTTAGAAATGGTCGACTCTAAGAACTTCCAGCAAACCGACAGTCTAATGCTGAGCGGTGACACGCGGATCGACTTTAATCTTAAACGAACCGGAATCTCAACAATTAATACGAATAATTTGACTTGGCAGTGACACGGACGAGCAATAACGACAATCCTAAGTTCACAAACTCTTACGCTCGAGCGGATGGCACGCGTTCATCGACAGAAACAATGGCGTTACTCTTTGCCGGTACGACATCGGTCGAATCAAATCCGCGTAAATTCTCACACGCGATCCGCTCAAGACACTCACAAAAGAGTACGCGATCGGTGGCTTTACAATAAAACGAATAACGCTCGCCTCACCAAGATATTCCTCCTCAGCCGCTTCCTTCAAAGTCTGTACGAGAGCCGATAGCAGTGCTCGTCTTCGACGAATATTCTCGAAATTCCTGACAAGTTATGGGCGAAATCCTGCGTCCTTCAGGGCCAGTCACTGCACAAGTGCCGATCGGAAGTTTCCGCGGATTCACGCAGGTCGTCAGGCCCTCTCTTATCGGCCTCTGCTTGCTCTAATTGGCTCGCCGCGACCGCGTGACCCCGCGACGAATCCCGCGGGTCCTTGCGTGTCGCGGATCCTTTTACGCTGTGGCGCGCTTTTCCAAAAGTCGGAAAATGCTTCCTTGTCGCTTGACGATCTTCCATCGATCGTTGTGGGACACGGTGCTTCGGCGGATGTTCTGCCTTTGAGTCCGTTCCCAGCTGACGTCTCTCTCCGAGGCGTCTGTAATGAGGGTGCGATAATCCACCAAATCATAGCGACATTAATAACAAATATGAAATAATACGACCTGCGTGTGCCGCGCTTCTCGTGACTTCAGCTAAATCCTCCATACAGCAATCTCTTCCTCGTAGGAGGCGGCGTCTTCTCTCTTCTAGCGATAGGTGAGGCGGCCGAACACAAGAATATAGCGTAGCCACCGGCTCTGATCGTGAATTACCGGCAAAATCCAAGCTCAGGATCGTCTTAATATTAACTAAAACTTAACTAAATAGCGACAAGAAGAAAAAATGAAAAATAATACAATAATCGCAAGAAAAAGAATTAAATTAAGTAATACAATAATCGCAAAAAGGAAATAAAAATAAATAATAATGTCGCACATTCGCTTGTGCGCTCGCCCGTTTACCCTGAAGGACCCAGGATCTCGCATTATGCCGCTTTTCCGAGTGACTGACAAAATGTCACGTCACAAGTTATAAAATACTTGATAGGTTTCATAATATTTTGAAAATTGTTACAACATGCCCTTCGCTCCCCTACTTTCAAATTCATCTGCGCGTTGTTGGGTATGCGACCCGCTGAGATCTAGCCAACCTAATTGCGTTTTCTGCAGAGTCGGGTGTTTGTCTGACGACTTTATTTGCCCGACGCATAGTAGATTCCAAAATAATTCCGCTCCAATCAACAAATCGATATCTGCTGATAAATGAAATTGCGGATCAGTCAACTGAAGGTCACGGGAGATTGAAAGCGTCGCGCCTGAACGAGACAGCTGGAATCTTATTGGTTACTATGCATTCAATCATTGTTGTGAAGGAGTTTAAGCGTGACTCCAACTTCACCTGCGCGACTTGATTGGAAGTGGCCACTGTTCCGTTGACTCCTGAAATCGACACACTCAACGGGCGTGTTTTCAACCCGAGAGACTTTACGAGCCGACTAGCTACGTTTGCTTGTGAACCGCAGTCGAGTAATGCACGACATGGCCTGGATGAACCCTTGCTGTCGTACGCGTAAATTAAAGCAGTCGACAATATGACTCGATCGCTGCTAATAACTCCGGATGCGTGTGTTACTACCACCGAAGAAGAATTAGCTACCTTTGACGAATCATTATTCTCAGCACTATTCATAGAAGATTCTG